GTACATTGCAAGTCAAGTAAGTATTTTCTTGTTCGATTATTCATTTTTGTCCTGTCCGGATGTTCAGCTATAATCAACACTTATATTTTGGGAATCTAATACTTCGGCCTTCCCATGTTTTGTAAAATCCCTTGAGTTTTAAAGGCCTTCGGATGTGGATAGACACTGTCGTTCTCGGGTCAGGCATAAAACAACCTATTGGATGTCCTGCCGTCGTGGCTCTGATGTGCTCGACTGCAATGAGAAACCTCTGTAAGTCCCTGACAGTCCTGGCCAGGATTTCCGTTGCGGCTTTACTTGACTACAGCAGATTTAAGCCTCAAATAGCTGCATGGATATGTATTACGGGCGAAATCATACCTTAGAAGTTTATTAATAGTTAGTCTTCAGAAGATGATGATCGTGCTTGAGGCGTTGTACCTGTCATTTGCGAATCGAAAAAATATCTGGAGAACGATAATTATGACCAGAGTTTCCTTTCGAACTGAACGCACTTCCCTTCTGTCATTCTCAGTGACCTCGCAGCGTGCGTCGCAGGCTAAATTCGCTTGAGGTCTGAACAGTCCCCTCGTTTTCCACCTCGCAGTATGAAGAAACCGATGAACTGCTGGTGATAGGTGTTTATCTTAAAATCTTGCTGACATTCGGCTGGCTAAAAAACGCCCTCCAACACGAAGGATGAATAAAGGGACCCCCCAAACTCTAGTGCGTGGGGGTAAGAAGTTCGTATAGGCTAAGAAAATCGATACAAAACATTCAGTTTCCTATCATTCGGCTGATTTTACTTATGAACTATAAGTACTCTCGGTTATCGTCTATGACTGCCAACTGCGACGCCAGCTTAAGGAATCTGTCGGTAAATTTCACCCTTGCCCACATGGCCTATCAAGCTATAGCCTCTCCAACCGTCTCTGTTAAAGGCAATCTACCTAAAGCACCACCTCGGTACATCTGTGGGCAGTATATTCATGGCGTGTTTTGAAGTGCTTCGGAGCCATTTTTGTATCGCAATTTAAACTAACCCTTAACCTGGTTGGCTGTTTCCTGTGCCATATCAGCCCTTTGGTAGACAAGAAAATATCACTCCCAGAGGAAGCATTGTTCTGTCCGTCCTCTTTTCGCGTCCGAAACATTAAAGGGTATCCGTTGGACAAAGTTAAACGATGTCGGCAAATTGTTCATCGTTTACGAGAACGCAAGTACCACTGCTTTTTTCAGAATGATTGACTTTATGAACTTCCACGGTGCAATAGTGTATAATTTCACCGGCAAAGCTTTTACTTTTTCATCGTCGAGAAAAGAATAATAATTCTTAACAGCAGGATTATCTGTCGAATGTAAGGCCGCCACCGGAGGTAAAAGCGAATTCTGAACTTCGGCTCGCAAGCAGTTGCTTTTTTCATCATCTCACGCCTTTATTCAGCTCTTATCTATTTATTTGGTAACGATAATTAAACTGGTCTTACCTGTTTCCAGTATTCGCTGCACCTCCTCTTCAGTGATAATTTTAATCGTCATGTTTCTCATCAAGCGATGTATGAATTGTTGTAACGGTAGCCAAGGCCGAGATGTTACCGAATAATTATGTCTTGTGTGACCCCCAAAGGAAAAACACAACAAAAAGTGGGCAAAAGCAGAAGTCCTTGAGCGTAATAAGCACAAAATACTTAGGGTAACAAATGCGTGCAAAACAATGTCCATCGAGCCAATCAGCTGCTGTCCTGGCGTTGGTTGTGGCACGATTGGCTGGTGACTCGACGGCTGACTCTAACTTGAATTTTGAATTATCGATTGATTGACAGCCAGTATGTGTTCGCGTCGTGTAGGCCGATCGATAGCCTGCTATGGGCGCGGCTGCTTGCTGCATGCTATCTGCCTATTCGGCTCGTCCTAACATAAATCACCGCATGCAAGTAAGTTTGCC